CACATATATTAAATCTTAAACACCATTAATAAAATTTCTGGTTTTGCCACTGTCAAGTATAGGCTTCCTCTAAGTCATACCACCTGGCCTTTGGTTCTCATGTTTTACTTGCAGGAAATTCAAGATTTGAGACACATAATCCGCTATATCTCTCTTCATACTACACCACCAATAGTGATTCTTAAAATCATGATACATACACAACCAATAGTGATTCTTAAAATCATGATACATCTTCGCTAGTCTCAAATGAATATAATACATCAAACTGTGAGCCTCCTTCATGATCAATCTGGTAAAATCACCCACTCCTGGTACATAAATATGATCCTTGATATTCAAAACAACTCCATTATTAAGAATCGCTTCCTTGGCCTCTCCCTTCAACACTATGTCTCGAATTATACTCAACTTTTCTCATCTTTAAACTGCCTAGTCTTAATCTATTCCACCAAAAGTGAATGAGTCTCAACACAAGCAAGACCTCTAATAGGCTCCAAAATGCCAAGTATTATAAAACTATCAGCCAAAAAGTCAACTCCATAGCCAAAGTATGCTCCTCTACTAATAACAAAGCAAGACTGCTCATACTCACCACCTTCTTAAAGAAGGCATCTTCCACCAATTGGCCTTCCACGGATGATAAAGAATAGTCATATGATAATCCTTGAGAAACTCCAACCACCATTTTGCCTCAAGTTTAAATCCTTCGGATTGAATATGTACTGGAGGATGGAATGATCAGTGAAAATCTCATAATGCACACCATACAGATAATACCTCAAAATCTTCAAAGCAAGTACTTTCGTTGTCAACTCTAAGTCATGGGTATGATAGTTTTTCTCATGCATCTTCAACTGCCTCGAAGCATAAGAGATAACCTTAACTTTCTACATCAATACAAAGTCAAGGACAATCTGCGAAGCATCACAATAAATAGTAAAGCCTTCTTCCGTAGGTAAGGTCAATATCAGAGCTGAAGTCAATAAAGCCTTGAACATTTGAAAAATTGCCTCACAATCATTAGACCATTGGAACACTACATCTTCTTAGTCAATTTTGTCAATAGAGATGCAATAAAAGAGAAACCCTCAACAAATCGCTTGTAATAACTAGCTAATCTCATAAAACTTGAATTCTCGATTGGCAAGGTGGTCCTAGACCAATCCCAAGCTGCCTCAATCTTTTACGGATCCACATATACCCTCCTTATCCATTATATGCCCCAAGAATTCCACTGAACTCAACCAAGATTCACACTTAAAAAACTTGATATAAAGTCAATCATACTTCAAGATCTGAAGTACAATCCCCAAGTGCTTCTAATCTCTTTCCTACTACTGGAATATATTAGAATGTCATCGATAAAGACTATCATGAAGGAATCCAAGTACGGCCTGAAATCCAATCATCAACTCTATAAAAGTTATTGGAGCACTAGGTAGCCCAAAAGACATGGCCAAAACTCATAGTAGCCATAGAGGGGCCTAAAGGATGTCTTAGGGATATCTGCTTCCCTAGTCTTCAACTGGTGGTAACTTGGCCTTAAATTAATCTTAGAGAAAACTGAAGCACCCTAAAGCTGATCAAATAAATCATTAATATGCGGTATGTGATACTTGTTCTTGACAGTTGATAACACTCAAACCACACTTCCAACTTAAGTATGACGCGGACATTGTCAATAAAGAACCCAACTAGAGGTTGGGGTCGATCCCACAGGGAATATGAAAGATCTAGATTACAGCCAGTAGATGAACTTGTATGGTAATTACTTCACAAAGGGGGAATTCTAATAAAAAAATAATTAAAAATAAGCAACAGTCAAGATTATAGTTGTTAATCAATAATTAAAGTATAAATAGGGTTTATATTCCCCATGGGTTCATAACAGCTTTGGGTATACACTTGTGATCTTTACCAATACTTACTTACATAACTGATAGCTTTGGTTCATTCAAACGATCAACCAATCCCTATTAAATGACTATCCTCAATTACTCGATCGAGTCTCATGAGTTTTGCAAACTAATCGTTATCACTAAGTTCCAGATATAACTATCCTGCGACCACAACTCAAGTTAATACAATGATCATCAAGATCAAGGCTCTGTTGTAATTCTCTTTTTCTAATCTCTACCTCTTC